GTACTTTCTTGAAGCACCATATTCATTGATTTTGTAGGACAGAATCAGATGTTGAAACGGTTTCCAATTTGTCTAATTTTTTGCAAGGATGATCTATGAATGTAAACTTAAAAAAGAGATGGTTTAAATTGTTGAAAAATAATTCATAAGGGACCCTAAAAAGTGTCCTTTAAATAAAATTATTTGAGAGATCCCTCAATAAAAAGGGATTATAAATATAATTCTCTAGAATATGGAGTTTCACTAAAACACCCAAAATGGGGGTTGAAATTATAAAAAAACTAAAGTACTATTTAAACATATAAACACACCCAAAACCTATCATTACACACACTCAAAACTTATTTATAAACACACCCAAAAAGTTGACTTTGGGGTTGATTTTGGGTGTGTTTCTATGTTTAAATAGTACTTAAATTTTTTTATAAATACATGTCTAAGATTTGATTTATTTATAAATTTGTATAAATATTAACCGACCACGAAATGCTTTGGACATGGAGGGCTGAATCTGCCTAGTCGGACCAGAACACACATGCTCAATCAGCCACAAACATTGACCACCATGCTCAGTAAAAGCTGCTTTTCCAAATACTTTAGCCTATGAGAATATGCCACGTGACACCTTCAATAACAACTACCTAATGGCTAATTGTTGGGGTGTTTAGGTTTTTTTTTTTTTTTCGTTTTCATTTTTCAAATATTATTTTAGCCTTTTTACCTTTTTCATATACTCTAAACCGTTTTTACTTGTTTATTCTTTTTGTGTTGCTTTTCTTATGCTTTAATTTTTTTTTATCACAAATAAAAATAATAATAAACTAAAATAATAAATTTTGAGTTTTAGCCCTTAGCCCCTCACCATCACTAGAACCACAAAAAATTTGAGAGGCTAGATTTTGTTAATAGTATCATTTTGAAAGGCTGAAAAAACACCTTGCCCCTTGCCCCTTGCATTAGACATGCTCTTACATACCTTGAAATTGTCAAGAGTTAATACAAGAAGGTTTATAATACAAGCGAGCGGTGCTTCTCCATTATGGAGCCCACTTTTGACCGTGTGTTTATATATCTCCTCTCTCTCTCTCTTTCTTTTTTCTTTCTCTCTCCGCCAGTTTTCTTCTTCTCCCTTCCAATCTCTGCAACTCAATCCCTCATTGCAATATCTGCAGCCAGTGGTGGATCCAGGATTCAAAAGTCAGGTAGGCGAAACTTACCTTAAAAATTCGACAGTATGAGTGAATTTTATTGATAAAAATAAAAAGATACACCTAGTCAGGGGGGACGTAATGAGCCTTACCCTCAAATATGCATATCTATACATAAATAAAAGCTTAACAAAAAAAA